GGGACCCTTACGCGCGCGCGTGTGTGTGCGTGAAATAGGCTTTGAAGTTGTATAGAAATATGAATGATACATTTTGTAATAGCTAACAATTTATTGACTAGAATCCCCATTAGCGTAGAGCGTTTATAGCTTTGATAATGATGAATGACCAAATGCACAAATGTTGTCACAAAGGGCCTCCTTAACTGCATCTTGAATGTTTATGGCTGAATTGATGTGCGTGCATGTATGGGGATCTCGAAGCGCATATGAATTGCGAGCAGCCAACAAGCCTAGCCTAGCCACAATTGGAACGATAACCAATGGCCACATTGAGTTCCAAACACCCCCCCCCCCATCCACCCACTGGCCCAATCTAAGTTCAGATGAGTACGCATTTTCGCAGCCGAAGGGTCTCGACTCCACAACTAACAAGCTTGGCTCCAGATAATGCACTGTACCTAGAGTTTGAGCCAATTTTAGTCGCGACGCCATGTCGCGTTGATAGGCAAATTTTCTCTCCGGTTTTGCGTAACCTGCCTTCTGCTTATGAAATTTTCATCAAATTTACGACAATTCAATCACCCCTCTGCACATCAGAAGTGGTGTTTAATCATATCTGGGATGGGGCTTTAGCGGTCGCCGGTAAATTTATTGGCCGCCTCCTATTAGCAGTAGAAACCAAGCAATCTTCTTTTTAATGTTTCAATTGATTTCATCACCGGATGGAATGCATCCACTCTGAATTCCTAGTACCAATACACGGAAAGGCAATATGACAGAGCGTTTAATTGTGGGAAGGAGAAACGCCAATGAGCTCAAGTGCTTTACTGCAGCTAACTTTTGGATTCGGGTTGCGCAATAGTCAATGCACAGACGGACAGTCCTTGCTCCGAATTTCATATTTCGTGATTCATTCCCGTAGTGGCGCACCAAGTGAGCGTGTGTCCACGATGTTCGGTTCGATCGCGATGGTTGACCAAGCCACACATCCACTCACTTTCTTTCCCCACCAAGGAGAGTTCAATTGAGGTGGTGGTGGTGGTGGTGGTGGATATAAATAGAGTGAGAGTGCGTTTTGATACACAACAAGCCTTCCCATGGGAACACTACGAGTGCCACTTTATGAAGAGTAGCTAGTAATCAAACTCCTACTAACATCAATTCAGTTGACAAAGCAATAGCGCAGGTAAATTGTGAAACAATTGCTCATCTACGTACGCGAAACAAAAATAAATGGAGAAAATAGCGAGAAATGTTGCCGTAAATGACAACTTGTTATGAGTTTTGACCGGCAAAATGTAAATGCCAACTTTAGATTTAGTCTATTGGGCACCGCCATGTTATGCTAGAACTTAATTTGCCAGACCAAGGTTGCGCGATAGACTTACCTCCATGTGGTGCACCCTGGGCAACGTATTATCATACGGCAAAAAAGTCTATTAACCGGCAGTTGACTTCCGACTTCTAACTAGCATGACCCCACTCGGCCCACTTCCATAGTAATCAACTCACCTTTTTTCTTCCTTTGTGTCTGTCTCTTTTACATCTTTGAACACTTATCTTCCCTCCCCCCTCTCGACTTTTTTCCCTTCCTCTCTGTGAAGCCTGAAGTCAACTAAAGGGCAAATGATAACCATTCTGTGAAGCCTGAAGTCAGCTAAACGGCTTATGATAACTATTGTGAAGCCTGAAGTCAACTAAAGGGCTAATGATAACTAAAAAGGCCTGCTATTTGATATATAAATTTGCAAAACTAACCGATTTGCTCATGGCTATTAAAATCAGTATGGTATGAATCAAACGGTTCGAAAGTTTTGAAGATCGTTAAAGTGGAAAAAATTACAGTAATAACAATTAGGCTTCTGAGAACAGAAATTAAATGACTCTATGTTTCGAATTTGTCAAACATCATTCCGACCTCCACTTCATTTCCTCCCCAAACTGGACCATCTTGTCAATCAGACTACTACTAATAATAATAAGTAGAGAAGAAGAGAGAAGAGACTAATCAATGATGTATGCAATACTACGTACTGTTGTTCACAGCACGTCTTGAATTTGGGTCACCGATTAAAGGTCGCGCTGTTAATGCTGGAGCACAGATAAAAGACCAATCGGGCGTGTGATAAAACGTCACATGGCCCCCCCCCCTTCGGTCAACTATTACACCAGTGGCACTGTAGAAGCATGATCAATCCACAAATGAGAGATAGATGTTACTTGCCTTAAGAGCATGGTTTTGAACGAGTGTAGCCTCCAAGGCATCTTGTTTAGTGAGAAGGGCGTCATTAAGTTGTTGCACATTTGTCTGGAGTTCAAAAATCCTTGCCTCAGTGTCGAAATTTCTGCTCCTCGTTGAAGGAGATGGTGAAGCAACAAGAGGAGAATCGGGAGATTTTGGGGACGTTTCTGCAGACGCGAGGCATCGCCGTAGACGAGTGACTTCAGCTTCAGCTGAACGGAGTTGCCCATTCAGGGAGGCTAAATCTCGCTTTGATGCCTCCTCAGCCAAATTTAAACGCCGCTGGAGGTCAATAATCTCAGCGTCCGAATCTGACAAAAGCTAGAAAAAAATACGTGGATATTCGTAAATGTTGCTGATAGTAAATAAGCCTTGCTAGTAAAAGAACAAAAGTGAGATTAATGGCCCTCCAAATTCAATCACCCGAGAGACATCGACGTTGGTCATATACTATATGCAGTGGTCAAATTTATCGGACATTAAAAAAATAACATATGCACAAAGTAGAATAATACATTCTATAGGAATGAAATAATAAAACTCATACTTGTTTTTCGCGTTGAAGCTGCTGTTCCAAAAGACTAACGGTCCTCCGAAGTGAAGCATGCTCTTCAAAGGCTTTCTCCTCAATTTTCGATGCTGCAAGAAGGCGTTGATCAGCCTCCTGTCGCAAAACAACCGCCTCCTCCTGCAGTTGCTCATATTCCCGTCGAAGATTGGTATCCTCACTGGAACCAGAGCCGGAATTTAACTGGTCTCGTAAATCAGATATGACCTTCTCCTTATCGGATAGAATAGCAGCCGCT